AAAAAAAAAAAGAAGAAGCCGAGAGCAAAGGACCCAGACCCGAGCAGCCTGGGTCCCTTTCCATTTTAATTCCTCATCGAGGTATAATGGCTGGCTCCTTTGTACTTTTGTTGTCCGAATTCATATGCTTTTAAGAGCTTAGTTCGATTTAAAAGAGTCATGTTTATATTCGGTTAAACTGTGAGATAAGTGAGCAGGACATGGGGTAATTGAGTTATGTGCTTTCTTTTCTGCTTGTGTTGTTGGGGTTGTTAGCATGTTAATTTGGTGCTGGGAGTTGTGTTTTTTAGCATGCCATGAATGTTGAGAAGTTTTAAAGTGAAAGCATGAATTTTGGTAGCCTAATTTGTTGGGTGTTTGAACCTTAGTTTTTGTTGTGTTGACCTCGCTGAAAATGAGCTATTAATGTGTTAGTTCCAGCCACGATATATATATTTCATGCCTTAGAATCAAGAGGAGAAAGTTTACGCAAGTATTTTATGTCATTTTTTCTCTGTTTGGGCTTAGCATGTTATTTATGTACTAAGAATGTATCAGTTTCAGAGTTGTGTGCTCAGCTCAAGTGTGGGCTGATCAGGAGAAAGAAAAGAGAAGATTGAAGTGCTTGTTGTTGTGTTTAAGAAGTGAAATTACCTTGCATTTTGCCGAGCTTGTTACATGTTTAGCCCGATGAAGATGAGCGTTTTGAGAGCCTTTCAAATCATTTAGCATGACTTTTAAACTGTTGTTAAAGTTTAAGATAAGAAGAGCAGGTGTATGTTGGTTTGATGTCTTGTTATGTTATTCTTTGCCGTGAATGGATGAGCATGTTGTTGAACTCTTTTACTGAACCTTGTGTGCTTTTCATATGTGCTGTTTTGTGTGTAAATATGTTGTTTTTAGTCGTTTTATATTCTGAGTTTAATTTGATTAAATATTTGTTAAGTTAAAGTTAGTTCTTTTAATTATATTCTTATAGTATATTATATTATAAATAACAAAAAAAAAAGGTTGTTAGATATAATAATAATACAACAACAACAACAACAAGCCTTTTAGTCCCAAGCAAGTTGGGGTAGGCTAGAGATGAAACCCAAGAGAACCAATGGCTAGATATAATAATAAGTATTAGAAAATGTATAATACCTGATAAATAAAGTAGAAACAATTTCTTGCAGCGGACAAATTAACATTGTAGACTTACATTCCGTACTTAGATGTTATCTTATTGCAGGACAAATTTTACATTTACAGATATCATTAGCCAAAAATTCTCTAGAGGACAAATTTTACATTTACAGAAGTTGCTAGAAAGAACGGTCTACAATGAAATGAATCGTGATCCATATATTATATGAGGAAAAATATATCTGTATAGACAATACTGAATTAAACTAATCTAGGAAGCTGGTTTGTTTTCTTCTATTTTACATAGCTGAGATAGCTCCTCAAAATCTCAGAGGTGCTCTGGGCTCGGTGAACCAGGTTTTTAAATACACTAATTTATGTTGACGTTTATGTGCTTCCTTACAAGATTCGGCTAATTATACATACTTTTGTGGTTTAGCTCTCTGTAACTATTGGAATCATGATATCATATCGGCCGGGACTATTTGTTGGCTGGAGAATTCTTGCAATTCTAGGTTATCTTCCGCATTACTGTATTGTAGAACCATGAACGTTATGAAAATTTCTAATCTATATTGTAGTACCATGAACGTTATGGAAATTTTATTTTGAAAGCAATATAATGTCATCTTTAGTTATTCTTTTTGGTCTTGCGGATTTTAGTTTATTTGTCTCAATTTAATAAATGATGTATTTGTCTAAGAAATTATTTGCAGTGAGTAACTTATATCTATATTTATTTACAGGAACACGACCTTGTCTAATATTGATACCTGGCCTCTTTTCCATCCCCGAATCTCCTAGGTGGTTGGTGAGGAGACTTACAAATGGCAGAGGTCTGTAGCTTCAACAAGCAGACGAACAGCAATCCGCTTTGCTGATCTCAAAATGAGAAGATATTGGTTGCCCCTTTCGAGTAACTTGTTGATCATTTTTCAACTTTAGGCTCTGATTCGAAAGTGAGCCCGTGTTTTTCAACTTTGGGCTCTGCGGGGATGCGCGCTAACTCCGAAGAGTGTCGCCGCTTCAAACGGGGCTTCGACGGGCGGATACCCAACAATCTTTTTCCTAAATAAATGTGAGGGGATCCCATGAGAGATTGAGAAAACTTCACAATTTAAATTTGTCCTCTATTGTTATTAAAGGTAATAAGCCTTAATTAGTTCTGTGTTTTTTTTCTTTCCACTAGTTATGGATAGGTGTGATTATGCTGTATACATTATTTTTTCATGTAGGATTAGTTATCGCCTACCAGGTTCTGGGTAGTTTAAGATGAAGTTATGTAACAATTTAACTTTTTTTTTTTTTTTTTTGTTTCTCTTCTCGTGGATAGTTTGTGAGAAAGTGGAAAGAAACGGGTTTCTTGCTCACGAAACGGGTTTCTTGAGCAAGAAACGGGTTTCTTGTTTAAAATGAGCAACAAACTAGTTTCTTGGAAAGAAACATGTTTCTTGCTCAAGAAACGGGTTTCTTACCAAGAAACATGTTTTTGAGCAAGAAACTGGTTTCTTGAGTCAAGAAACCAGTTTCCATAAATTTGCACTTTACCAACGTCCATCTGAAAAAATAAATAAATAAAAAAGAAAATTTTAGTACAAATATTTTCTTCAACTTTTTTTACCTGCAGATGTGTTTGGACAAAAATATATGAATACATGATACATTTTCTTGTTCAATAAACATGAGCAACAAACGAGTTTTTTGAGCAAGAAACGGGTTTCTTGTCAAGAAACCAGTTTCTTGTCAAAAAAACTTGTTTCTTGCCAAGAAACGGGTTTTTTGTTCAAAAGAAATAGGTTTCTTGAGCAACAAACTTGTTTCTTGAAAAGAAACATGTTCCTTGCTCAAGAAACATGTTTTTGAGCAAGAAACTGGTTTCTTGAGCAAGAAACGGGTTTCTTGTCAAGAAATGGGTTTCTTGTCAAGAAACCAGTTTCCATCAATTTGCACTTTACCAACGTCCATCTGAAAAAATAAATAAATAAAAAAGAAAATTTTAGTACAAATATTTTCTTCAACTTTTTTTACCTTCAGATGTGTTTGGACAAAAATATATGAATGCATGATACATTTTCTTGTTCAATAAACATGTTTCTTGAGCAACAAACGAGTTTTTTGAGCAAGAAACGGGTTTCTTGTTCAAAAGAAATAGGTTTCTTGAGCAAGAAACGAGTTTCGTAGAAAGAAACATGTTTCTTGCTCCTGAAACGGGTTTCTTGAGCAACAAACTAGTTTCTTGGAAAGAAACATGTTTCTTGCTCAAGGACGGGTTTCTTACCAAGAAACAGGTTTCTTGAGCAAGAAACTGGTTTCTTGAGCAAGAAACGGGTTTCTTGTCAAGAAACCAGTTTCTTGTCAAGAAACTTGTTTCTTGCCAAGAAACCCGTTTTTGAGCAAGAAACTTGTTTCTTGACCAACAAATGTTCAAGAAATTGTATATTCTTCAACAAACGTTTAATTCAGCTCCTAAACTCCAAAAAATGACTCAAGTAACAATACAACGAAAATTATGAACTCCAAAACACAACACCTTTTTTGAAGCACAAAAACTCCATTTTATTAATTGCAAAGAAATATGAGTTGAACAAAATAAAATGGTACGAGACAAATCAATAATTCTGAGAACAAAAATAATAAATGTGTTCAAAAAAAATTTTATTTAACATAATAAAAAAATTGCCACAATTAAAGTGCCACCATTATTTTATCGGTCGTCGGCCTATTTTAAGATATCGAGCTATTTTAAGATATTAAGGGCAAAGCCTATATCTCCTGGTTTAACAATTAAAATTATGTTAGCGGATGAACAATATGTACAAGAGAATACTCACAGTTGTGGTGTATTAAAATGCATGTACATAGACGCATGCTTGTTATGTCTTTCCGAAGAATCTGATTGAAGAAGATATCACGAATTACAAAAAAAAAAATGACTGTATTGGCTCACGATTTATGCTCTGGTAAATCAAGAATCCATCAAGTTCCACACTTTGAAATGCTCTTTCAGTTTCTGGGATTTTCAGGGATTCTGTATTGGCTACAAAGTTATCCTTTTATCCACCAAGTCTTAAACTCTTATCCCTTTGTTCTTGTGAATTGCGAAACAATATATTGAAATAGATTTACAATTGGCCTCCATCCTGAACCAAGAATTGGGCTAGTCCGGCAGCTCGCAATCCATCTCCAAAACTGTAGTTAATCAACATTCTTTATTATATGTACCAATATCTCCAAAACTTGCTGGCTGAAGAGTAAACTTCGAATTTTTTGACAGAAGAATCCGAGTGAGCTAACTTTCCTTCTTCATCACCTTTATCATCCTACTGCTTTTGTTTTTCTCTTCTTTTTTTTTCGTCTGCTTTTTTTTTTCGGATCATGTTAGAGCACCAAATTGAATCCTTCAGACAAGAAATCATCCCTTTTCTTTCCTATCTTCTCCTTTTTTCCCCTTATCCTCTTTGTCTCTTTCCCCTGCTCGCTGAGCCTAATAAGGCTCTCGATACAAACCTCAGCGTAAAACCTGTAAGGCAAACCCTGAACATCGACATCACAAACACTCTTTTCCTTCGAATCGAACCAAACGAGCTTAAAATCATTGCAGCTCAACAAAACTTTATCGCCATCCGCCGAATAAACCAATGGGCTAAGGAAATCTCGCCGGAGGGCCAACGGCCACCACTTTAGTCCAATAGTCAGTCAACCCATATTCCTTCATCACCCAAATATCAATCTTGCTATACTTTTTACGATGAACCACCGAAAGAAAGCTGTCCAAAACGTAGATATCGACGTGGGCACCCCACATTCGGACACCTGGCGACAGCTTCATTGGAGAATGCTTCTCGGTTTGGACACTAAAAGCCATGATTTTACCACCTTCATTTTCGTGGGGATCCAAGACGAGTGTATTAAGGGATCCGCTGACGTGCACGCGCCAGAACCAATCAAGAAATGGGAGTGGGTAAGGGAAATCTTCAATCCTCCGCCAGCAATTTGACCGGAGACTGTAAACCCTAGCCTCCGATGATACCCACGCGTAGCTCCCTTCGTGTCGGAACTCAATAACCCTAACCACCTTGTAATCGTCGGCAGCCGGGTCGTACCCCAACCCGTATACGGTGTGCGGGTAGCATTCCGGAGGGGCCCGGTGCTCGATGGGGCAGCTGGGGAGCACCCTGTGGTCCCTCGAGAAAGGGTTGTACAAAACAGGCGGGTCGCACATGGCGAGGACACGCCGTTGCAATAATTGGAGAACCCATCGGAGGTTCTGTAACAGAACGGCGGGCGGAGGGGGACGGCGCCGTCGGGATGGCCCAGATCGACGGCGAGGAACTCGAGGCTGATGAGGAGGTGGCGGTTGGAGGCGGTGGATAAGGAGCGGCGGAGGTGGGATTTGGCGAAGGGCTCGTTGTCGATCAGGGAGTGCCACGACCGCGCGACGGCGCGGAACCGCTTGAGGGATTTCACGGGGAGGCGGCGGAGGATGTCTTCCACCAGCTCTTGGGACGATTCTTCTTCTTCGAATTTCCTCGTGAATTTTGCACGGGATCTTTTTCTCTAGGCCGACATGTTATTTTTTTTTTTTTTTTTTTTTTTTTTTTTTTTTTTTTCAGATGGGAGGGAGTGAAAATAAAGAAATTTGGGGGAAATAAATTGATATGTGAATTGGAAAATTTGAGTTTGGTGAAAATTAATAAGGGTAGCATGGTCTTTTTAACCCCTAAAATGGCTATATTTCATCTTTTTCTAAATCATGGCTATATTTCATTTTATCTTACAAAAAAGTGCTAGAAAACCCGGGCTCTGTAAATTGAAATTCATCTCTTTAATTTTTTTTCCATAAGTTTCAAAAATTTATAATAATTAAGTCAAATTACAAATGTAAAGTTTCAAAAATCAAGAGGATAGTTTTGAAAATAGACATATTTTTTTTCTTTTCAAAATTGTCATAGTCTTCATTCAATATAAAATAAAGCTAATATGTTAGGAGTTTTTAATTGTTTAAACATACAAATTTTATGTTCTCTTGAACAAGCTAATTTTATATTGTTTATAATAAATATACCATAAATTATATGACATGTTAACCCCACATCGTTAATTTATAATTATTATTTAATATCTTTTACCCTTATCTTTATTTTTTCTTGCTCTTTTAAGAGAAGATTAATTGTGGTTCCCCACTTCTTGCATTGGGTGACTCGAACTCGACACATATTTATAATAAATATTTAATATTGTTTACCCGTGCATCGCACGGGATACGCACTAGTTTAAGAAAATCACATTATTTCTTTTAAATCTTATTTTATTTTTATATTTACGAAACTTTTATTTTAGTTTGATTTTTTTTTTACCATTTATTTTTGAATTGTATAATTTTTAGTTTTTAAGTAGTTTAAGATGGTTTATGTATGACTCTCTTTCAAATGACGTATTTTTGCAAATATTTTTAGAAAAAAATGTTAGTAACATAAAAAATAGATTTACATGTAAATTGATGTGGTCGTTAGTAGCGGCTCATGAAGGACCGGTTGTGACCCGGATTCTGGTCGTTGGTAGGCGGATGCTTGGGTAGGCGGAGGCTTTGGTAGGCGGATGCTTTGG